GTGTGTGTGTGTGCGTGTGCGTGTGTGTGTACAAATGTGTGCTCACCGACTGTTTGTCAGCCGTAACTATGCATCCACTTTGTCAGTTCTCTTTGTTGGCTCACAACGTCTTTGTTGTCATCTCTGTCGTATCTGCAGGGCCCAGCTGGAGAACGAGAAGAAGAAGAGAGAGGCCATCGAGAAGGAGAAGGAGCAGATGGAGCGGGAGAAGCAGGATCTGATGATGAGGCTCTACCAGTTTGAGGAGAAGACCAAGAAGGCAGAGAAAGGTGAGGTGTGAGGGGGGCGAGGCCGTATGAGGGACCTCGAGGGCTTTCAGTGGCTCATACATCACTTAACCCTGAGAATACAAAGCATATGCGAGTGTGTGGGTGAAAATAGTTGTGTGTACGTGTGATTATGAGGGCAGGTGAATGCGAGGCTAACAGGTTATGTGTGCAGGTTGCTGGTTTTGTAAACAATGTGAGTAATGAATGCTGCAGTTCAGCATCTGTAATCTACTAATCTGTGTATACACTGTGAACCTTTATGAGTAGTAATTTACTTGTGTTTTGATTACATTTTGGTTTAGTGTCAAAATACAGAAAAACTAAAACTATTTGTGAAGTTTGACTCTTACTTCTAGTTTTACCTGTTTCTGTTTGTGACGTCTTGCCTACAGGCAGTAAAGCAGGAACCAGCAGCGTTTGTTATTTGTTTATCAAATCTTAGGAAGCCCTTATTGTTGACAAAATTACATACAGTAAGCTATCAGGCTAATAAGATTGATAATTAAGTGACTCTGTGGCTTCCTCTTAAGTAATAATTAACCAGTTTCCTCCTCATAAATTAGTGCCAAATGATTTACAGTGTTTGTTGACCACAGTCATGGAAAGAATCTCATTGCCCAGGACTTTTGCTCCTGACATCTAATTAGACTCTTGTCTCTATCCTGTGTCTCACTACAATATCTCCCCATTAACACTTGGAACACCAGAAACATGAAACTGGACATATTTTTTTTTTTTTATTTACTTTTTGCAAATCTGTGTTCAGTTTCTAGATCATAGCAGAGCATCTGGATATAGGCTACTGTGTATTTCTGTAGATGTATTCTGATGCTCTTAGTCTATGGCCATTAAGCATTAGTAATTTTATTTTCATTACAGCTTTTAAAAATGATACATACTACCAAGGAACATGATATGCCACCATCATAGTTCATAATGAAATCGGAATTAAATCAGAACAAAAGATCAATAAACTTTGTAGTATTTTCTGTGTAGTTACAGCCTGATATATCTTATTTTTCTGTGCCATAGAGCTCCATTGTTTTCCAAAACCTATTTAATAATACATCGGTGTTGCACTAGGTGACATGTTCTTTCATGGACACTGTAGTTTATTTGCAACCCCACATACACCATCTGGCTGCCATATATACTCACTAAACACCATATCAGAATGAGAAATACTTTATTGATGGGGGGGGGGGGGCGATTTGTTTCAGTTGTTCTACTCACACATGTTGTATGCAAAATGAGGCATTGGTGATTGTTTTTGTTTACAGAGCTTCATGCTAGCAGCTGTGAGTGTTGATGATGAAGATGATACAGTTCTGTGTTTTTCGGTGTGTAGTAGCATACCATTCGTCTCATGTCTCTTTTCCTTTCCCATCCTTCTTTACTTTAGATCTGCAGGACCAGCTTCAGAGAGCCATGATGCTGGACCAGGAGAGGAGGAGAGCCGAGGAAGAGGCAGCTCGTCTGGAGGCAGAGCGTCAGGCTGCCCTTCTGGCTAAAGAGGAGCTGGCTCGCCAGGCTGAGTCGCAGATGAAGAGCCAGGAGCAGCTGGTCAGTATTTTTATGACACCATGCAATTATTCAGCGACTTTAAAGCGCGTTTGTAACATTCCCAATATCACTAACTGCTGTGACTGTAGTTATTAAAAGAATCTACAGCAGTGGCACATAACGTTCTTTTAAATGAGTAAAAAAAGCAGAGTAGGTCCATCAATGAAAGTTCAAAACCTAAGCTAATTGCAAGATAAGATCATTTAAAACCTTTTTTTTTCTCCGTGTTCTCACTGCACCCAGCTGTTATTGTGTCCAGGTCTGTACCAGGCACATTGCAGCGTGGTGTATTCAGCAGTGCCTGGCTACTGTAGCTCCAGACAAAACCACTTTGTAGCGTCCGGCTGGACCACACCCTGTTACTTCAGACTGTCCGCCCCCTCACCCCGAGCTGCTCGGCTGTGGACCACCCACAGGACTGTGTTAGAGCTCCCTCGTTCACATTAACAGCCTGCACAGTAAAGCGCGCGGTTCCACATTCAGCCAGAAACTCCAGCACAGTTTTACTGGACAGACACCTGCTGTGACACCCTTTATACTTAAACCCTATTAAGAAGCTTAAGTCTCTGCAACTTCCACTGACTGTGATTTAAAATGGCATGTGGGAGTCGTGTTATCAATGTATTTTAAATATTTGGAAGCACGTAGCTTCTTGATAATAGTACACTGGGTCCCTGTGTTTTACTGACTGACCAGTTTTCCAGCTGAACACCTTTCGCAGCAAAGTGCTCCACTGTCTGTTAAGCGTCTTCACAACTCGCGCAGGCACATAATGAACAACTGAGGCAGGTGTACCGTTTAACACTGAGCCTCCGGTTAGTTTAGTCTGGTGAAAGACAAGCTGTTCACATTGTTGTGGTGGTGAGAAGGAATGCACCACACAACACCCACTGAGGCTGCACAGAGTCTGGTTACGTTTCAGGAGGCTTCACTACTTCACTGTTGATGTTTTCATATTCATTTCGATTTTTAATTTGGATAGTGCTGAATGCTTTTAAAGGCTGTCTTTTAACAGAGATTCTTTAGTACGGTTACCTACTACCGTAGGTAGTGGCTGTTTGCATAGTAAAATTTGACCGGATGCTTGTTTTAGGCTGTCAGGAAGTGGTCAAAATAAGTGTTTTTACAGCTATTTGTTCTTATTTTAATTTATGTTTTTTTGTTTTTATTTTGTTTGCTCTAAATATGCATGCCAACTTAACTGATAATATAAACACAATATTATTAATTGTTGATTTGGCTCTGTAAATTCATTTGTAGAAACAGGTACATTGACTTTAGCCTTCCTCAGATGAGTTTAAAAGATGCTTTTCTGATGGATCTGATTAATAAATTCACACATCCAATCGGTGCTGTTTCTGCATAATTCAGATGTCCCTCAGGAGGTGCTAAGAGAAGTGTTTTGTGAATCTGCTGCAGATGTGCTTGCTTTAAACAAACAATATAGACAGACATAAAGAATTGTTCTGCAAGTAATTAAAATCAAGAGTCTCTTTGTGTAGTTTAGTATGAGAGCAATATCACAACTACAAAAAAAATCTAGTCTAATCTAGTTATGTTGTTTTTAGTGATGTCTCTGATTTTCTCTGATTCTGCACGTGCTCTGAGCTTTGTCTGGCTATGTTTGTTTTTCTTTCTATTTGCTTTCAGTGAGACTCTCTGATTAGATAAAAGGTTATATATATCTTTATCCACCTACATGTATTAAATCTGGACTCTTGAATAAGTGTTTCTCCTCTTGTTTTGTATCAGGCTGCAGAGCTGGCAGAGCACACACAAAAGATCGCCTTGCTGGAGGAGGCCAAGAGACGCAAAGAGGAGGAGGCCGACACATGGCAGCATAGGGTAAGAGCTTTAACAGAGGGCAACCTGCAGTGTGTACCGAGGTTCATTCAGCTATATCTGTCATCAAAATCAGAGGCAGTACAATGTTCCTACAATGCCTCAAATTAGATAAGTTTAGACTCTTTCTCTGCCAATACAAATGATCTCACTTGCCAAAAGTGTCTAATAAACAAGATAGTTTGTTTTTGTTGAAGAGTTCTGGGTGCTTGTTCTTTAATTTAAACCTAAACCAAATCAAATACAAGAAAGGAAGCAAATGTGAGTGGAGCAGGGAGGAACAAGTCAGATTTTGTGCCAAAGTTCAGACACAAAGAAGAGTAAACTGACTGTCTTCTGTGTCACTGATTCCTCCGTTCACCAGGCCATGGAGGCTCAGGACGATCTGATTAAGACCAAGGAGGAGCTGCACATGGTGATGACGGCGCCCCCGCCACCTCCACCTCCCCCCATGTACGACCAGATGGATGACAGCGACAGCGAGGAGAACGCCAGTGAGAACGCCAGCACGCACAGCGCCGACCTGCAGATTGAAGGCTTCAACGACCACCGCAACGAGGAGGATCGCCTCACTGAGGCCGAGAAGAACGAGCGCGTCCAGAAACAGCTGAAGGTGAGGACAGAAATATAACACCTCGCACAGTCAGTCATCCTCGAGATGCAGCTGCATTAATACATTTATTTCATGTGATATGACAAATATCACACCTGTAGGTTGGTTAAGAGACACCATGGAGCTCATTGCTCAGCCTTACTTTGAGTTTATTATCTTCTCCTATTCACAAAAGGATCACAAACAAATAACTGATTATGAGGATCATTAGACTGCAGTTGAATCTAATATTGACAGATTTTGTTCCACGTTATTAAAGGAGGATAGATACTGTTTGGTCGCTAAGCTTTATTCACTTTTTATTGAAAAGGACACACCTCCTTTAACTTTGTGATTTATCAGGGGTAACTCCCTGTACTCATGTGCTGACATGCTTACTTCAGCAAATAGTTTTAATATTAGTTTAAGCTTAGCTAGAAATCAAATCTACACTTGCTCTTTTACCACTAATGAACCGCACCAGAGTCTACTTGGAAGTGGAGACCCCTCCTTTTCAGGCGGTTGGAGCCAGTAGCTTTACAGCTTTCACACCAGCCCAAATGAACCAAATTAAAAGGGCATCAGAGTTCGTTTAATCAAACCGAACAGGTTAGGTGAGAATGCACCCTTATTTCTTCCTGCGTTACTGCTGCACACCCAGTTAAAAGTGCTCTGACGCATTCTCACCATTATCCATCCTGGGACCAGTTCTTTGCTTGATGTTTTTCTTACTGGATGCTTCAACAGATCAGATCAAATTTGAGCTTAACACAACTTAAACTGTAAAACTTAGTAATAGTAATAATACAAGAAATAGCCTGGGCTTTTATTTGCTTCAATCACTGAACTCAACCTGCCTTTATTTGGATGTACTGTACTGGACTGTACCTCACTCTTCCTCTCCTCCTCTGCCCTCAGGCCTTGACCTCTGAGCTGGCTCAGGCGCGCGACGATTCCAAGAACACCCAGAACGACCTTCTTCACAGTGAGAACGTCCGGGCCGGCCGAGACAAATACAAGACCCTGCGACAGATCCGGCAGGGCAACACCAAGCAGAGGATCGACGAGTTCGAGGCCTTATAAAAAGCCTTCGGTCCCTCAGCCACTCACCCTTTCTGAATGGTCACTACATCTCGCGCCTCGGCTGACACACATAGACGTACATAAACTCATATAACACACATCAGTTGCAGACTAAACTGGAGCAGTATAAGCACAGCAGAGGCATCAGTTACAGAGAGACACACTCCTGCCGTGAGTTTGTCTGGCGGTATGCAGGGCTTTGCAAATCCTTTGAAGAAAACTTAGTGCCAAAACCTTTCTCTTCTTAGTGTTTCAGATCTTATTTGTGTATTTGAATGTGTGTAATTGGATCCATTCAGACCAAATCATTGTTGTTTTTATCCAGAGGTGTGATAAAGTAGTGGGACTAGCCAAATTTTATTATTATTTCATGATGTGCACATACAATATGTAATCAAAGCTTCTTTTTGATGTCGGTCGTTTGTTGTGTTGGAAGAAAAAGGACAGTTTGTCGTTCATAGCGATCACTCAGAAAGGGGGAAACAGTATACGCAGGAAAATGTGTTTTTTTTGTTTTCCATTATATTTGAACACTTCCATTTATGTTTAATATTGCTATATAGTAGTTTAAAATCATGCCTAGTTGAATATTTATACTGTATATGGGACATTAAAAAGGGTATTTCATCTTGGTTTGTATATTTTTGCTATCTACTAATGATAATGAGAACATTTAATATGTTTAAAAGGTTTTATATATTGACCAAAATAATATCAGTCTTATGTTCCAATACGTTTTCCTTTTAGATCACTAAATTAAAGAGATTTAATTGTAAATTATTATTTTTTACTGTAGGAATATCCAGATGCATGCCATTAAATCAATTAAGAATATCTTTCTAGGTACTTTTGATTAGTTGATTTTTTTGCCGTGCAGCTCACAGCGTGCTGAGGAATATCTTCATCCTCGGAGCGCTGTGTCGACTGAGACACTTCAGTTTATTATGTTTTATTTCTCTGTTCTGTGTCATGTCGCTGTTGAGCGAGAGATGAGCATGTGTTTGTGTGCTTTTACCCTCCCAAGTGGCCTTTCTCTCTGGCTGTCCCTCTGCGGAGATCAGTCCCAGATAGTTGGTCTTCACTTCTTAGCCAAGGTGCATAGTGCAAAAAAATAAATAAATATGGACATAACTTTGAAAACCTTTTACTTCTTTTTAGTGTTAGACCTCCGCTGAGGTTAAAATGAGGGTTGAGGTGAACTTTTAGAAAAGAGTTTTTATTTTTTTTGCAGCTTGGTCACAATGGGCTGACCCAGACATTATAACACCAACGTCTCACGCTCCTCTCTCTGGACATGGACTAGAGTAGCATCCACTGACAATGTAATGGAAAACACACAACTCTGCTGGCCTTTGTATATGAGCAGGATTTTATAATGAGGTGTTCAACATATTGGCAATAAAGATGATTACACATCAGCGTGTTTTTGCTTTGTACACTGCATGAACAAAAGGGTGGGAATACGTTTGGTGTCGATCAGTATCTGCAGCCGTGCTAGTGATACGGCTGTAGTGTGTACAACTCCAGCAGAATGTCTTTCTGTAGACATTCATGTTCCCCTGAGGATGAAACCTGACTGTGCCTCTAGCGCCACCATGAGGTTGACATTTGTGGATCTGAGCGAAGCTACGTGAAGGATTGTCATGAAACTTATTTCATATTCTTGTTGCTCTCATGATGAATTAGCTTACAGTATAAACCCTGCACTGCAACCACAGCGCGTCACAGTGTCGTCACGCTCTCCCGGTGCCGACGTCGGCGAGCTGACGTCACCCTCCACTTGTTGGGCGCGGTTGCCACGGCGACCCAGGAGAATGCCAGGCGGGTGACGTCACCGGTCTTCTGGCGCTTCTGCGAAACAGGACACTGAGCAACGTCTTTCACACACTGACACATAAAGAGCTCATTGTACAGGAGAGAGGGAGAGAGGGAGAGAGGGGGGGAGGG